TGATTAATTGTGGAGGTGTGCCGTGGTGGCAATAGCCTTGGATTTGAAATAGAGCCTTGAGCAGAGCTGTTGTTGTATGGGAGAACGTGGAGGAATGCAGGCTCCCGTTGGATGGGGGCTGGCTGGCTGGTGTCTGCTGCTTCTCCAGGCTTCAACCAGCCCTGCAGAAATTCATTCATTCTGAATTTCTCAACCAAAGGAGCCTCTGATGTGGGGAAGGATTGCAAGGCCTTTACGTGTGTTTTTTTCAGTCCGAAATTGCAGTGTGGTTTTCTCTTTCTTGTGCTGTGATTCACCGAGTCCTTCCAGTATAAAAAAAAAAAAAAAACAAACCTCATTTTTCATATACCATGAGATTGAACAGGCAATGAATGACTGTGCTCTGTGGCTCAGGGAAGGCAAATGTCCTGTTACATGCTTCAGTAGAGAGCAGTCTGTGACCTGTATCATCAATTAGCAATGAAATAGTTCTCCTCTTGGGCTAGCAGCAAGATTTTAAATATTTTAGTTTCTTGGTTCCAGCTGTCCGGTTGGTCTTTGTGTTGAGCAATGCTTCAGCTAAAATTGTGGTTGGTAATATAAGGTATGAGATTGGTGTCATTTCAGGGCGTTTATTCCAAAATATATACGTCTCAACATTGAAATATTTTCCATTAAATTCATTTGCTTTTGGAATCCAAAGCAGTCCTACATTATCTTGTCATGCATACATTATTAATTGCAATCCATTTTTAATTTAATGAAAAATTATGCGAAGAGCCAGGGAGGAAGCTGTCTTGCAGCATCCTTGCTCTCTCTCTTTGCCTCGATAACCTCAAGCAATCAAAGAGGTTACATTTAAAATCCACTCCTGCATTTTTATCTTTTTTTTTTTTAAATGGATCGGTGTTTAAACTCGGGGAAACTATCAAAGGAGGAATGAAAGCGTTGGCAGAGGTGACAAGTGATATTCAAGTTGGATAATATTATTCTTTAACTGGTTGACAGAAGTTTGTGTGAGGAGAGAATGGTCTCAGAGAGGAGTTTTCATTGCAGTTTCCCAAAGTTTATTTAGGTAGTAGAAAGCTGAATCATTATGTAAATCTAATTATCGTGCTTGTGAGCTTTATCAACCTGGAAGTTAGTAAGTTGGTCATGAGTGCAACTGTGTCATAAAGAAGCCTTCCTGATTGGAGATTGGTTCTTAAATTTGATTCTGTGCTACCCTCTGTTACCCCAAGGATTAAGAGATAAAATGTTTCCGAGCCCATTGCTAATTTAACAGCAAATTGGAGCTTGCAGTGAGTGATATCATTCTGCTCTGTTCTCTTAATTAAAATACGAAAAAAAAACCCCACCACACCACAATTTGGGTCAAAATTTTAATTCTGTTTTGCTATTATTATGATAATTTAAGCCCTAAATAAGGATAAAATGTAGCTGACTGGAGAGCAGATCTTGTCTACATTAGAAAAATTATCCGTTATTGTCAAAACTTGTCTCCAGCAGAAATAATCAAGCTCATGTGCAGGAAACCTGCTTTAGGTTACATCAAACTGTAGCACAATTTTGAGCCTGGTCTTGTTAGAGATGTCTTAAAGACCTTTTCAAAATGTCTATGCGCACAGCAGGGTTTCTTAATAACTGGTGAATACTTGAATGTTCTGAAACAAAATACTTATTATTGTTTAATTATAGAATGCAGAGCCCTCGTCTTGAATAAAGGCTGTAGGGTAGTGAAAAATATACAAATTAAAAGCAAGAGAGAGCCTCTGGTGTTGCTGATTTCGAAGTGCGAGACGGCAGGTAGTATCTGATGAAGACAGAGTGAAAGATGAAGAGCTGGGAGGAGGAGCTGGAGATGGTATCTCCTGGCGCACAGCAGGGTTTCTTAATAACTGGTGAATTCTTGTTAGTTCTGAAACAAAATACTTATTATTGTTTAATTATAGAATGCAGAGCCCTCGTCTTGAATAAAGGCTGTAGGGTAGTGAAAAATATACAAATTAAAAGCAAGAGAGAGCCTCTGGTGTTGCTGATTTCGAAGTGCGAGACGGCAGGTAGTATCTGATGAAGACAGAGTGAAAGATGAAGAGCTGGGAGGAGGAGCTGGAGATGGTATCTCCTGGCCTGGCTGGCAGCGATGGTGCCACGGAGGCATGAAAAGCAGCAGCAGGTATGATCTGCTGTTGGCAGTGGATCTTCTGAGTAGATCTTCTCCCTAACAGTGATGGGTTCCACGGATGGTGTCACGGAGGCATGAAAAGCAGCAGCAGGTCTGATCTGCTGTCGGCAGTGGATCTTCTGATTAGATCTTCTCCCTAACAGTGATGGGTTCCAGTCAGTTGGCCAGAGTCTCACAGTAAACACCTTTGCTTGAATACTGGAGTACTTGAATTACTTGAATACTTGAATTGCTGGAGTACTGTGTCCAGTTCTGGGCTCCCCAGTTCAAGAGGGACAGGGAACTACTGGAAAGAGTCCAGCGAAGGGCAACAAAGATGATTCAAGGACTGGAGCATCTCCCTTATGAGGAGAGACTGAGAGAGCTGGGACTCTTTAGTCTGGAGAAGAGAAGGCTGAGGGGAGACCTTCTCAATGCTGACAAGTATCTCAAGGGAGGGTTGAAGGAGGAGGGAGCCAGACTCTTCTCAGTGGTTGCCAGTGAGAGGACGAGGGGCAACGGGCACAAGTTGGAACATAAGAGGTTCCACTCAAATAGGAGGAGAAACTTCTTCCCAGTGAGGGTGCCAGAGCCCTGGAACAGGTTGTGGAGTCCCCTTCTTTGGAGATTTTCAAGCCCTGCCTGGATGCTCCTGAGTAACATGCTCTGACAAGCTCTGGGTGGTCCTGCTTTGGCAGGGGAGTTGGACTAGATGATCTCTATGGTCCCTTCCAACTCTAAAAATTCAGTGAAATTCAGTGAAATTTCTCCCCACAGCTACTTCTGCCCTGTTGTTAAGCCCAACAGTCGACCTTAAGCTCCAGCAGATGCCACGTGGACAGTAGCTATTGAGTTTTTCTGCTCTATAACTGTATAAAATGACAGTTTTGGTTTTGCTTTATGTTTGTTACTGGTTTGTTCAGCTTGGATTGGACACTGATTCAGCTTCATTGAACTCTGGCTGGAGTAGCAGCGATGGAGGTGGGTTTTAGCTTCACCTTGAGTAGTGGGTTCTCCTCTATCTGTGGTTCCTTAGGGTCCAGATTAGTATTTTATTGTGGTACTGCTGAGGGGGGGAATCTGTGTGGGTTTTCTCACCTTGTGTTTCCATAACATCAGTGTTTTTGGGGTCCTGGAGCACCATGGAGTTGTGTTCCTGGCCCCATCACCTTGTGCAAGGCCCTTTACTCATGCCATGTGCTTCTCTTTTCTCCTGTCATGAGGTTTGACTCTGGTTGACTTAATTTATCCACTCAGGTCAAACCACACGTTGGGGGATGTAGTCATTGAGATGAATCCATCCAGTGTCCTTTGGTCCCTGGTGGGGAAAGGAAGAGTTTGGGATATGGGATAGTTCCTGAAGCCCAGCAGCTACAGATGCAAAGTCAGGATAGATTTATTTTTTTGCTAAATGAGCTTGTTGTTTTCTATTCAATCCTATCTTTGGCGTGTCCCTGTTCCTGCAGGTCTGCTTTGGTGAAACAAAGAAAAATTAGCATTGGGAGAAAGGGATTTAGAAACAGTCATTAGACTTTCTAGGCACAGAACGGGTCTAACCTGTCTGACCGTGCTCGGGCTTTGCCAAGCTTTGCAGCTTCCCCTTCTCCTGTGGCTGCTGAACTGGGGCTGGCACGGCTGGGTCCTTACACATTAGCTCTAATTAACAAGGTTATTGTCAGTTTTACAGCATTTAGCAAACAGCATTCATCCAACCATTTAAAACTTAAACTCAAACAGAGTTGTACTGACTGTTTTGTATCGGTTGGGATTATGTAGCCTCTTCTGTTGAATTTTAGACCAAAAATAAAGTGGTTTTTATTTAGTAAATCTTTGGTATCTCACTGATACCGAGGATACACGGAGTCCAAAGAGCATACAGTATTTCACACACCTGAAATCTTTGCTTATAGCTGATCCCCAAGACCATCCTCAGCAATCCTGCTGATTTGAAAGCAACCCTGTGCAAAATCTGGTCCCTTTAGATGATAAAGTGAGTTTCTATGAGCTGCGTCTGCAATTGTTAGCTCCAGATTACAGCTTGTTTGTGCTAGAGCCTCAGCAAACTGCAGCAGAAATCATCATAACACAAAAAACCGTGGGCCATTCTCCAGAGGGGAGAACAGCTCTGCCTTCTGTACCAATACCCAAAGATTAAAAGGAGTTGATGAAGGTCACGCAGCAGCTAATGGCAAAGTCAGGACTGAAAGGCACTCATCCATCATCCCCGCTCGCCTCTTTATTTGCTAAACCTCACTGCCTCTTGTGGGGATCTCATCATCTCCGCTGCTGCCGTGGGGGTCTGAGGAAAGATTCCCATCTTTTAATAGGATTGGAAAGTTGAGTAATAATACTTGTTTAATGTCTAAGCTAGAAAATGTAATATCAGTTTTACACGGCTCCTTTTAAAACTGGCAGGATTAAACCCAGAAATAAATTAAGCCTTACAAGCCTCCTCTGGGAACCCACTAAATATTACCCTGTTTTCAAAAAGGAGGAAGCAGAAGAGCAAATACATTAATGTGATATATCCAGGGTTATACTGGGAATAGCCTCCTGTTCTTCTGACTCTGAGTAGCTAAAGTTTGATTTTTTTGGGGTGAAACCATCCCGAGCAGGTAAGTCCATCCCCGTTTGGATCCCGGGGTGGGAGGTGCAGAGGACAAAGGAATTCCTTTTCCTCCCTCCTCCTCCTCCTCCAGCCGGGAAAGGGTTACAGCAGAAATGCCTGGGGAAAGCATGAATCAGTGCTAGTGAGAGAAGGCGGAACGGGAACCGGGGATCGCAGCCTGGTCCTTGCTTTTCATTTATAGATACTTCTTTTTTAATTTTTTTTAAATTTTTTTAAGGGTGGGGGGGTGTTAAATGCAGCGTCGCAGCCATCCGATGTGCCAGAAAGCAGAGGAGATAGGAGCCGGGCGAGGGGGGGGGACACAACCTCAGCCCTTTTCTCCTTGTCTCCCTCCCCCTCCGGCTGCCTGTGAGTGTGTAACCGTGTGTGTGTGACACAGGGAGTGTGTGTGTGTGTGTGTGTGCAACATGGAGGGAGGGACCGGAGCTGCCGCCGCCTTCCCCGGCATCTACCCGGCAGCTTTCACTGCGGGAACGCGAGGGACTGGAATTCTTGATGAATCGGAAAGGTCAGTGCTATCAATAAATCACCCGCAGATAAAATGCTCCTCCGAGATGCTTTCCTCCTTTTTTTTTTTTTTTAAAAAAAATTAACCCTCTTTTCTCAGAAATGGAGTATTAAAATGATCCTGTATCTCCGAGGAATGTAATTGTTTCGCAATTGGTGGTAGCCAGCAATGGCTAATAAATATGTAGAGCATGATTTGAAAAGGCAAGTGTGTTATTTTCACTCAGCGAATGTAACTTCATTTTAATTTTGAGTGTATTTTTTTTTAAGCGTATGTATATGGCCGCGTATCTTTTAAGTGGTTGAGTATTTGAATGGAGAAAGGTTAATTGCCTCCTTCAATCAGATTGCACTATATAGGTTACACCAGCATGGAGTAAGCAGACAAAGTAGAATTTTGCATCCCCTTCTTCATGTGACAGTGGTCCTTGAGGCATTTTCGGGTGTAGTGTGTGGAATGTGATTATTAGCATGACTGAAACTTGCATTTTTTTAAATGAAAAATGGAATATATCTTGTCTGTAGCAGAGTAGAGCACATACTCTGTACTTTGGCTGTGTGAAAGCAGCAACAGTCACAGGGGTTTGTGCTGAGCCTATTTTTTTTCCCCTTTCTAATGAATAACTAAGTGCTGTCGATACGGTGTGGGTTTAGGAGCGATAGTTCTGGGGGACCAGGTTATCGTGCAGTTAAAATTCTTGTGGAATGAGACAGTGCTGATTATCTTCATGGCAAATCAGCTCCTTCACCCAAAGCTTGGCTTTGGACTGTGGCTGATATGAAATAAGCTTATTGCTGCTGCAATTCAGTTTGGGATTTTCTACTTCAGGGCTGAGAGTGCATAAATATTTACTGGTGGGGAAAAAAAAAAAAAGAAAAAGGAGGGAGTTGGGGAACCAGTATAATTTAAAATTTGCCATCTTGGGCACGCTCTTACCACCTACTTAGTTTACAGATTTTACAGATCAAGGCTGTTTCTGCCAAACTAAAAGTTATTTCTGAAGGTAGCTGCCGGAAGCTGGAGACGCGGGTTCTTCTTTCACTGCATAATGCATTATCAACAAAGTCTCCATAATTTATGTGAACTCCACCCCCTTCAGAAACTGAAGGAGAGTAGCTCCTACTGGCACTGCAAAATCTCTCTGAAATTGTCTGTATTTTCTTTCTTTCTTGAAGTATTTTGCATTAGGAAAGCTGCTACTGAGTATCTTCTCACTGTTTGTATTATCCAATGACTCTGGTACTGAGAGGAAGCTAATTAGGTAATTTCGGTTCCCTTTACTGAGAAATAAAACTGAATTTAAAAATTAAATATGTAGGATGTGCTAATGCTGGAGCCCTTGCACCCAGCAGTGTCCTTTGTGGCAGAAAAGGCACAATACGCTGTATAGTGGCATCTGTGATTTAATCTAGGATTTAATGACCAGGAACACCATAGGATTTGGGTTTGGTGTGAATTCCCCTGGGAATGGGTGGCGCTCACCCCCAATGAAAACTGACATTTGTGAGCAGCTGGCAATGTCAGCCTGCGGGGTACCATGTCGGTGGCTAAAGAAAGACAAAGTTTAGCAATGATTTGATATAACCTGTGCACTTTTCTACTTTTCTTATATTTCAGGGAAATCTGCAGATTAAATATCTTTTAGTCCTGGCAGTGACAGTCCCCTTTTTTTGGCCACTTGTGCAGATAATGCAAAGTTCTGCTGTGCTCTGGACTATCTCATTGTGGCTGGCTCTCTGAAGGGGAGACCTCATTATCCCTGTTCCCTCAGCGTCCTGCTTTTCAGTGTAGAGAGGAATATTTGTATTGTTTCTTAGAAGCAAGGCTTGCATTTAATAGGATTATAGGAGTATTTTTAACTTTACACTGTCAGGTGCTGCTGAGTGATACTCAGAGCCCAGGGAGTTTTCTGATTCTTGTTGTAAAAGTACCTCTAGACAGAAGGAACGGTGCTGGTGCGTGTCTTCTTCAGGGACAAAAAAATAATCCTTTTTTTTGGGATTGCAGAATCCTTGCCTTACCTGTAGCAGTAGTTTTTTGGCTGGAGGGGAAAAGGGACAGAAACCAGCAGCTCTGAGCTGCTGAAAGAGCAGTCCTTGGGAGGGCTGGGTGGTGTAGGTTACAGATAGCATCTCTGCCAGTCCCTGGTGACTGCTGTTACACAGAACTGGTTCTGGGTGACTTGCTGTGTCATGAGTTCCCTCTGTGAGATGTTCTGCTGAACCATCTTCACTCCTCATCCATCTGTGCCCTCCAGCTCCCCTTCCCCAGCTCTTCCACCCCCCCGGGAGGAATCCCTGCATCTCCTCCTGGAAGGAGGAGGCAATTTTATCAGAGTGTTAACACATCCTTTGCACCCTCCAGTTCTTCTTGCAACAACCAGAAAATCAAATATACTGTGTAACATATTTCACTGAATTTCACTGAATTTTTAGAGTTGGAAGGGACCATAGAGATCATCTAGTCCAACTCCCCTGCTAAAGCAGGACCACCCAGAGCTTGTCAGAGCATGTTACTCAGGAGCATCCAGGCTGGACTCTTTCCAGTAGTTCCCTGTCCCTCTTGAACTGGGGAGCCCAGAACTGGACGCAGGATTCCAGTTGTGGCCTCCCCAGTGCAGAGCAGAGGGGGAGAATGACCTCCCTTGACCTGATGGCCACACTCTTCCCTATGCAACCCAAGATACCATTGGCCTTCCTGGCCACAAGAGCACACTGTTTGCTCATTGTCATTTTACTGTCCACCAGGACCCCTAGATCTTTCTCTTCAGAAGTTGTCTCCAGCAGGTCCACCCCTAACCTGTACTGGTACCTGACATTCTTCTTCCCCAGGTGCAGGACCCTACACTTTTCCCTGGTGAACCTCATGAGGTTCTTCCTTGCCCAGCCCTCTGCAGTATTTATATCAAGAATACAAAAAAAAAATATAATAATATCACTTAATCCCCCTTTACCAAGCTTTTTGGTTTAATCTTTCTTTGAACCATGTTTCTCCTTGTTTAGTACTTTCTGAAAACTCCAGGCCCTGGGGTTCAATATTCTGCTCCCGATGGTGGTCAATAAAAGGAAGTAAATCCCCTGCTTTTCACCAATAGTCCTGTGCCATAGGAAGGAATGACATTCCCAGCTTGTTTTTAGTCACCAGCCTGGAGAAAGGGGGGAAAAAAGCCAATGCCAGAATAGGTGATGGGAGGGAGAAGGAAGGTGACTTTGAAGTGGTGGGTGCAGAGGAGATGGGATGGGATCTGAGCTTTCCCATCATGAGGATGAGGACCAGGTGCTGGTTTTAGCTGTTGAGTCAGAACAGGGGGGATTTCAATGCGTTTTCATGCAAAAAGAACAAAGGGCAGATGTACAACTTTTGTGTGTTCCTTTGAATTTACTGATTTTTGGAACTTGGGAGGGTGCAGTGCCAGGGGCTGGGAACTGGAGGAAGTGTCTGTTTCACTCAGTTTCTTAGGTGCTGTTATTAATGTTTGTTGTTCTTATTTATTTGGTGAAGGAGCTGTCTGTGTTCTGGTTCTGGACAGGAGCTCGCAGACATGTTTGAAGTGTGTATCCATTTCATTCAGTTTCTTAGGTGCTGTTATTAATGTTTGTTGTTCTTATTTATTTGGTGAAGGAGTTGTCTGTGTTCTGGTTCTGGACAGGAGCTCGCAGACATGTTTGAAGTGTGTATCCAGAAAGCAAAATTAAAATATAAACCTCAGCCCTTCTGTGCGTTTCACACTGATGCCTGTAGCTTTGCTCAGGTCTAAGGGCAGGGAGGGAGCATCATTTAGAGTGGGGATGGTGGGGGGGGAAAGGGGAAGGAATTGGTACCTTGGCTTTGAAACACCATTTACATTCTGCCTTCTCTTGTGTTGTTCATACCCCATCCATCCCTGGGGGGGTTCAAGGGCAGGTTGGAGGGGGCTTGGAGCAACCTGGTGTGGTGGGAGGTGTCCCTGCCCAGGGCAGGGGGTGGAACGAGATGATCTTTAAGCTCCCTTCCAGCCCAAACCATTCTGATTATTCCTTCTGAAACAGTGACCATGGAATCCTGGCCTGTGTCAGGAACATCGTGGCGAGTAGCGCCCAAGAGGTGATTGTCCCCCTGTACTGGGCACTGGTGAGGCCTCACCTTGAGTACTGTGTCCAGTTTTGGGCCCCCTACCATAAAAAAGACATTGAGGGGCTGGAGCGGGTCCAGAGAAGGGCAACAAAGATGGTGAGGGGTCTGGAGAATAAGTCTTATGAGGAGAGGCTGAGGGAGCTGGGGTTATTCAGCCTGGAGAAGAGGAGGCTGAGGGGAGGTGCTCAGCCTTCTTGCTCTCTCCAACTCCCTGAAAGGAGGGTGTAGAGAGGTGGGGGTCGGTCTCTTCTCCCAAGTCCCAGGCGACAGGACGAGAGGAAATGGCCTCAAGTTGCCCCAGGGGAGGTTCAGGCTGGATATTAGGAACAATTTTTTCACTGAAAGGGTTCTCAGGCATTGGAATGGGCTGCCCAGGGAGGTGGTTGAGGCACCATCCCTGGAGGGGCTCAAAAGAGGGGTTGATGTAGTGCTGGGAGGTCTGGTTTAGTGATGATGCTCCTTGTTTGTTGTGTGGGTGTCTATTTTTGTCAGTCAGGTTGACGGTTGGACAAGATGATCTTGAAGGTCCCTTCCAACCTAGAAGATTCTGTGATTCTGTGAATTTGTTATCCCAGCACCTCTGGAGACACTTCAGAGGTGACACGATACCTTTTTTCCTCTGTGGCCTTTCCTTATGCAACCCCTAATCCAATCAGATTTTCTTCCTTCTTTCTGTACAGCAGCCATAAAAGCACAATACTTCACTAAAAGATCTGCTACTGTTTCCCTTCAAAGCTGCTGGCAACCAGTGCCTGGTTGGGGATGCCCTGTGGTGGCAAAGACCACCCTCAATTATTGGAGGTGGTGGTCATAATTTGCAGCACAACGTTGGGCAGAGCCAAGTGTGACCTCCAGCTGGTTTCCTGGGCCAGGAACTGTGTGTGGTG